GTTTTGTTTTGTTTTCCATCCCTTTGGTCAATGGGCAACAGGATGTTCTTCGAAGAGATTAATGCTTTTGTATTTCCAATAATGGCAGGCCAGTTTTTTAGACCAATCCTTTCACTGAAAATAAATGAAGGTATGTATCTGCCATTTTATGGTCTTTCTTCCTGGGCTCTTCTTGATACAAGGCACACAAGTATGAATAAATTGTGGTCTCCATGTTCAAGGAGTTCATAGGGACTCTTACAAAGTAGGAGTTTTCCTACATAATTGCAGAGATGACACAGAAAAATCAAAGTGGGGTTAGTGAGAGGAGTTAATCTTGAGCTGTACTTGTGGGCTAGGAACTGCCAGAGTGGCGTGGGGAAGGTATCCAGGTAGAAAGCGTAATCAGTTTCCAGAAGGAGGGGTTTAAGTCCTGGGCATGGACAGCAAATGAACTGGCTGGGCTAGAGCAAAACAACCCTGTTAAGGAATGTAAAAATCCAGGTTCTTCTATATGAGCCCCACAGTGCCTAGCACAGGACATTCGAGGAGGAGGTCATAAATATATTCTGGTTGATTAGTTAAGTCACCTGACTCCAGTGCAACACTTGCTTACTAGAGTAGGCAATGAAGCTAAAGAGATATGAAGGAGTAGAGAGGTGAATCCTCATGTGGAGGGCATATTGTTGGCCTTCAATTCTGAGAAACTGGGAAACTGAAACTAAACTAAAAAATCTGAGCAAACTCTGCATGGTATCTCGGTTTATTTTGACCTTCTCAACTGGACTTCTAACTACTTATTGTGCAGTTTTGATGTACTTACACTCAATTCTTCATCGCATCACTGACAAGGAGGAGGGAAGAAAATTTGTATCCTATGGAAGGAATACTGTTAGCCTTCAATTCTGAGAAACTGGGGAGCTGAAAAGAAACTAAAAAATCTGAACAAACTCTTCCTGGTATCTTGGTTTATTTTGGTTTGTCAAGTAAAGGACAAGAGATGCGCAGAGAAATTCCTCCAAGATTCTGAGTTAGAAAGACGCTAGTGACTTAGCTGAGACAACCTTCTCCTTCTCCACTTTTTCAATTCCTTGGCCTGCTTAAACAATGCGTGGCTCTACTCTCCAAAAGCACCTTGCTACCTGACAGAGGTGAGTATGGGGCACATCCATGATTTTAACTGGCTCATGAAGAGCCTCTTCTTTTCCTTTATTAAATCTGGAGGTTACTTCTTGAGCAATTAATTCATGGTGATAAAAAAAATCCAGCAATATATTTACCACCAATCTTTAGAATAAACATGAAAATATTTAGATTTTGCCATCTGTTTTCATTGTTCTGTATGAAATAGGATTTTCAAAGGAAGCTTCAAGCTGGTAGTCATAAATAAATGACTAAATTAGCTTTGATTTTAGAAGCCTATATTGATGATTGCTTTTCCTAAAAATTCACAATTTCTAAGAATAGACAATTTAAACACTTGAATTATAGTGGTCAGTATGGATTTAAAATCACAAAGCATAACTAATTTCATGGCCTATAGAAAGCCTTTTTCTAGTTCTTCCCTTTTGACATAAATGCAGAATCTCTGTGTTGTAACATTAAATGGAAACAACCCAGAAAAATGATGTCCAAATTGCTGGTTTGGCTTTAAGATCCAGTGATTTTCTTTCAGAAGAACCCCAGGGTACAATGAATTGTCATGGGGTTTTTCATATGGAGAAAAGTTTCAAAGTTGCAGATTGAAAACCTCCATTGAAACAAATGCATTATGTCACTTGAAATAAGAGCATCTGTACATACTTCACAAAATAATTTTCTTTGTTCAGCAGAGGAAGGCCAGATGATGCAATATCTAGCTTCCAGCTGCGCCTTCCTCACTGGCAATTCAGCCTCTTTTAGTGCTATTTGAAAGACTCCTGACCACTTACTGTGCAATTTTGATGTGCTTACACTCCATTCCTCATCTCATCACTGACAAGGAAGAGGGAACAGAAATTGTATGAGAACGCATGTGTCCACAAAGCAACAGAACGATGGTTATCTTTCCCTTAGGCATTATTTTTTAAACACAAACAGCACCAAAGGAAGAGGGAAATCAGTCAGAGGCCTTGGGGATTCAAATGAAGGAAATCCTCCCACAGGATAAAGCTACACATCCTATAGAAAGTACACAAACAGCATTCTAAGCTGGACGTTGTTATGATTGCTCAGAAGTTTTACCTTTCCCAAGCTCTTTAAACCATGAATTGTTTCATTCTGCCAAAATAGATGAGCTAATAATTTGGCTGCCTGCTATTAGGAGGTTAAAAGACAAGCAGAGAAGTCCCATAAATAAAACATAACCAAAATATTTCAGTTGATTTAAACACAGTCTTAGCACTTTAGAATTGATAATATTATCAGGGCCAAATGTTGAATAACAAATACTCAAAATAAGAGTTTTGAGTTGAAACAGCTGTTTAGTCGGCCATTTAATGAAGGAGAAAAAAATGTTCCAATTGTTTCATGATGTGAAGACATCTGAATGGCTGATAAGATTTTTAACTTTTCAAATTGGTATGGGAGGAGCATTGTTATTGATTGCCATTGTCTAGCCTTTGATTGTTCTGAATGCAGAAAACTGGACTTTTACTTATTCTCTGAAACTTTGCCCCAAGGTAGATGTCTATGCTCTGGTACAACAAATTTTTTTAATAAAGGAATGAGATTCAAAATGCCTTACGTGGACCTTCAAAGGCTTCATGGTACACCACCATGAAGATGTGTCCTTGGTTTAGACTCTTGGAAGCAATTATGGGTTTTTCCCTCTTACCCCTGCCCTCTGACCTGTATCCTATCATGAATAGAGATGTGCACCAGCATCAAGCCCAAAAAGTTAACCATTCTTTAACCCAAAAAGCCAGGTGTGTTTTTGCTTGCTGGTTTTGTTTCTTTTCTCAAACCAGCCACAACCTGTGGTGACCAGCAATGGGGAAAATGGAAGGAGCTCTCTGATCCTGTCCCCAGCTTCCCTGCCCATAACTCATGCACACCCACATCCTCCTCAGGCCCACAGGGTGACTTTATGATGACCACCAGCATGTTTAGATTTCTCAGACGTAGGAAGAACTTCAAAGCACAAATTCTTTTCATAGTTCTTAAACTATGTTTCATAACTGTGCGCAACAGAAAAAATGAGGCCATCTAGGGATACAATTAACATTCCTGGGACTCTGGACATACCACCATGCTCACCTAAGTCTGTAACTAGAATGTTACAGTAAGCTTTTGCTCTAAGCAATTCATGGTAGACAATTTAAACAGACATCAAATCTAATGTGTTGTGAAGAGAGGTGCTGTCTGTGGCTCCTTGGTTCTTTAAATGAGTCAGTATATGCAAGCATCTAGTGCAGCTCCTGGCCCACATGAGAACCTGAGCCCTTCTTCCAAATGAGCCTCAGCTCCACAGAGATTGTGAAATGCCTCCAGCTAGTTTCCCACCCACTTGCAAACAGATCTTGGCCTAACACCTGCCCAAAGTCCACTTATGTCATTCCATCTGTGTTTCTCAAAATCGGACCTACAGACCACCTCCATCTCAAACACTTGGTGGGGTGAGAGTTAAAAATGCAGATTTCTGGACCCTTCTCCAGGCCTACTGAATCCAAAGCTCTGGGAGAGGGGCCCAAAAATCCACTTTTTAATCAAAGTAATTCATTAAAGCTTGAGAATACCTGATATAGAGTTTCACAGTTCTGTCCCTTTATTAACTTAAACCTTGGAAAAAGAATTTCTGCACAGTGTCAAAGAGCTTGTTACAAAAATGACTTCATTGTTACTTAAAGTTATATTCTCTGTCTTTATGGATGGTTGATTCAAGAGGCATCTGAGGTCTCATTTCAGTATCTTTTATACTGAAGTTAAGATTCTGTTCACTCCATAAATCTCTGCATTTTATATAAAAACCCATACCATTCATTTGTGATTTCATTTATTTCCAGGAAGAAAAAAAAATCTATCTGCTGTTGGATTTATTTGCTTCCTGTTGTCAGAAAATGAAAAATATATAACTGTGTTTCTCTTACAGCTTTAGCTACTGGAAATCTTGTAGCAATTTTCTTGCCCAAGTGTGGCAATCTGTTCAATTCTGTGCTCCAAATATATTTACTCTTTATTCTCCTTTTAGGTGAATTCTGTTTTCTTTCACATTTAAATGACGTAGGCACTGACTTCTGAACCACTTTAGACAGGGTATACATTTTTACCAAATAGAGAGCATTTTTTTTGCAGTGTTGTATTCTTCGCATGTAGCAATTCCTGAATGGCCACTTGAGTGAAGATTAAGAACTTGCTTGTGGTAGGATGCAGGTCTAGTAGTGCTGTGTTCTGTCTGATGAGTCTCTTAATCAGTTTGGATACTTGGTTCCGGTTATATTTGTTTTGCTCATCTACTTTTACAAATGCAAGCCAGAGACAGGGAGTTATGATGCGCTTCCAATGCTTTCAGAATCCCAGAATCCACTTGTTCTTTGTAGACTATGAATTTCTGAAGCAACGCAGCGTCTCCACGGCTACCTGGCAAAATTGCTAAGGCTGCCAGCGCCTGCTTCTATGCAACTGAATGTGAACTAAACAAATTTCTAGAGCCAACACAAGTAGAAGATTTGCGTCCCTGACTCCTGTAGGGGGAGATGTTGAGCATCCAACTGAAGCCCAGCAATATTCCTGGCAGTGGCCATATCAAGATTTGCTTTGGTGGTAGCCAAACCTTCATGCATAGGAGGTGGCCCCATGAGTCATTTTCACCCCCAAACTTCCTACTGTTTATTAATCACTTAGGGCAACCACACATTCATGGCGAAGTTTTAGTTGGAACAGCATTGAATTTTGCTTAACTTTGCTTCCCTGTATGAGTCCTCTGCCTTCCTCAGCACCCAACACCAAAGCACTAGTTATTACTTAACAGAGCCTTGCAATGTCCACAGAAGTTTCTTTTTAAATTATTTTATTTATTTTTATTTTTACAAAATTCAGGTGGTAAAAATATGGAACGCTTCACCAATTTGCGTGTCATCCTTGAACAGGGACCATGCTAGTCTTCTCTGCATCATTCCAGTTTTAATGTATGTGCTGCTGAAGTGAGCACCCAGAAGTTTCTTTACACATACCTGTCCTGAGACAGCTTCCATTTCAGTTCAACTCAAACACAATGAAGAAATCCTTTTTGAAATATCCCTACTGAACTGTTATTATCCACACTACCTAAAAGCGAAATTCCTTAAGGGCAGTATGGCCTAACGTTTGAGTACACACACTTTGGATTCAGAAAGACCAGGATTCAAATCCTGGTCCTGCCTCTTACTCTATGTGTGTCATTAGGCAAGTTACACAGTCTCTAAGACCTCTTTCTTCATCTGCAACATACAGACATTAGTAGCACTATTTCAAGAGTAGTTATTACAACTAAATGGTTTAAGAATTAGCTCGGTGCAGTGGCTCACGCCTGTAATCCCAGCACTTTGGGAATCCTAGGAGGGTGGATCATGAGGTCAGGAGATTGAGACAATCCTGGCTAACATGGTGAAACCCCGTCCCCACTAAAAATACAAAAAATTAGTTGAGCGTGGTGGCATGCACCTATAGTCCCAGCTACTACTCAGGAGGCTGAGGCAGGAGAATCACTTGAACCTGGGAGGCGGAGGTTGCAGTGAGCCGAGATCACGCCACTGCACTGCAACCTGGGTGACAGCACAAGATTCCATCTCAANAAAAAAAAAAAAAAAGAATTTAGCACACAGTAAGAACTTGATAAAATAGTATTTATTAGTACTCACAGAGTAGTCTGCTCTGAGATGAACAGCTCTATTGACAGCAAGTTCTTTCTTATACCAAACAGATAAAAAATTGTCTCATTTGTCCCACTCTTTCCTCCTAGTTCTGCCTTCAGAAGCTATCCAGAATAAGTATATTCCTTTTTCCACACAATAGCACTCTAAACATTTGAGGAATCTATTGTCTGCTTCCTTTCATATATTTGAGAAGAGGTATCATTTTTTTTTCCAGTTCGACTTTATCTAGCTCCTTCAACGGTGTCTCACATGACTTTGGATCTGTCACCATTTGTGGCAGAGCTAGCTAGATGCTCCCCAATCCCATTTCCTCTTCGTGGGCTTACAAGAATACTCTAGCCATTAGGTTGGGGCATGTGACTGGGTTTTGGCCAATAAAACGAGATTAAATGTATGTGTGCTACTTCTATGCCCGGCCATATGTCTTATGAGATCTTCCTTGATCTCTTTCACTCATTGGCTTTCTTAGCCAGGGGATCCTGTGGAAAATTCTCAGGATGCACTAAGAGGCATAGAATCTGTGAAATGGAAGAAGCTCGAATCCCTGTGTCAGCACATAGAAGGCTACCTCTCATGAACGTGTCAGACTGTGGCATGAGTGTTGTATTAAGCCATTAAGACTTGAGGATTGGGCCAGGTGCAGTGGCTCACACCTGTAATCCCAGCACTTTGGGAGGCTAAGGAGGGAAGACTGCTAGAACCCAGGAGTTTGAAACCAGCCTGAGCAACATAGCAAGACCCCCATCTCCACAAAAAAAATTAAAAATTAACTGGACGTGGTGGCTCACTTGTAGTCCCAGCTACTTGGGAGGCTGAGGTGGAAGGATAGCTTGGGCCCAGGAGGTCAAGGCTGCAGTGAGCCATGATCACGCCACTGCACTTCAGCCTGGGTGAAAGAGCAAGACCTTGTCTCAAACAAACAAAAAAAAGATTTGAGGGTTTATTTATCACCAAAATATATCCTAGCCTGCCATGGCTAATATATCTTTGTAGTTACATTCTCTGGACATGTGCTAGCCTGTCGATGTCACTTTTAAAAGATGATATCCAGAAATGAACACAATTTTTCAAATGTGACCTGACCCTGATGGAATAAAACTGGAAAACTCCTTCCTTCTTTTGCTGTTGTTGTTTTTTTTTTCTGAGTACCATATTTATTTTTTTCCAGTGCTTTCCAAAGTTGCCTTATGCCTAGCAACCAATTACACATACGCAGGTGGCACAAGCTTCATTTGTAGTTAACTAAAAACACTGCAGTATTTTTCAAGCCAACTACCATCAAGCTAAGTGCAGCACAGTCAGTGTTCACCAAATATCCCATTTGCTTTCCTGCACTTCCTAGCCTCCTCAGTTTTGTTGGGGCCACATTTGTAGTTTCTGGGGCAGAAATAACATATGTCACTCCTGAGTCAAGGCAGTTAGGAGCCAGTATGCCTCTTTCATTCCTCTTTTCCCTGCTGCAGATACCTTGGAGGACACATTCCACATGAAGGTAGGCTTCCCATCAGACTTTGCATAAATGAGAAATAAATGTTTACTCTTTAAAATATTGAAAATTCCAAGTCTGTTTATTGTAGCTAAACTCCCCAGGCTGCTACTTGTGCAATTCATTTGTTTGTATGTTAATTCAAAACTTTGTATTTATTTTTATTAACTTAAAAAAAAGATTTTTTTGAGACTGAGTCTCGCCCTGTTGCCCAGGCTGGAGTGCAGTGGCACGATCTTGGCTCACTACAACCTCCGCCTCCCAGTTCAAGTGATTCTTCTGCCTCAGCCTCCCAAGTAGCTGGGATTACAGGTGCATGCAACACCATGTCCATCTGATTTTTGTATTTTTAGTAGAGATGGGGGCTCACCATTTTGGCCAGGCTGGTTTCAAACTCCTGACTTCATGATCCTCCTGCCTCGGCCTCCCAAAGTGCCGGGATTACAGACGTGAGCCACCATACCCGGCTACTTTTAAAATTTTTATTCATGAATTATATATCTACAGAAAAGTGCCATATCATAAGTGAATTAATTCAACAAATTTTCACACACACACTGAATGCACATGTGTAACTAACAAAAAGGAGAATGTAATCAGCACCTCAGAAGCCCCTTCACACCCTCTGTCAGCCACTATCAGCCCAACGGTAACCACTCCCCTGCCTTCTAGCAGCACAGATTAATTTTTGTGTTTTTGAGTTTTACATAAGCAGAATCATACTGTGTGTACTCTCTTGCTCAGTATTAGATTTGTAAGTTTCATCCACAATGTCTTGTATGGCTATTGTTAGTTCATTTTTCTTGTTAGAAAACATTCCATTACGTAATTATACTGCCTCTTCATTCTCTTAATGTTATATGTGATAAAACAAAATTAACCAATTTTTTTTCTTTATAATTAGCATATTTTTTTATGTCCTGTTTAAGCTATCCTTGCCTATTCCAGAATCATGGAATTGTTCTACTACATTTCCTTTTAAAAACTTCATTGTTTTACTGTTAAAATTTAGACTGACAACCAGTCGGGAGCAAAATTTGGGAGCATAGTATGAGACAGACATCAAAATAGACTTTTTTCGTTTGGACAGCCATTGACCCAACATCTTTTACTGAAATTATCATCCTTTCTGTATTGCATTGAGGGACTTTTTTGTCATAAGTCAGGCAAAATGCATGTGTGGATTCTGTTTCTAATCTTTCTATTCTGTTCCTTTTGGTCATTTTGCCTCTCCTTTGCCAATACTACATATTTTAATCAGCCTGTTATATCTGATGATGTATATCCTCCAATTTTGTTCTGCTTCTAAAATGCTTTTACTATTCTAGGTTGTTTGTACTTCCATATGTATTTTAGAACTATCTGGGCAATCTCTGCAAAATAATCTATGGTGTTCTGACCAAAATTTTGTTGAATCCATACATTTATTTGTGTAGAACTCACTTCTTTCCCCCACTGTCATCCTGAGACGCAGTCTTGCTGTGTCACCTAGGCTGGAGTGCAGTCAGGTGACCTCAGCTCACTGCAACTTCCCCCTCCTGGGTTCAAATAGTTCTCCCTGCTTCAGCCTCCCAAGTAGCTGGGATTACAGTTCCCGCTACCACACCTGGCTAATTTTTGTTATTTTTTAGTAGAGACAGAATTTCAACATGTTGGCCAGGCTGGTCTTGAACTCCTGACCACAGGTGATCTGCCCACTTTAGCCTCCCAAAGTGCTGGGATTACCATGCCCGGCCAGAACTCACTTCTTTATAATACTGAGTCTTCCAACCCATTAGTCTGGTCTCTTCCTCTGCTCATTTAGGAATTCTTTAATTTTCTGTCAATAATGTTTTGTAATGTTTAGGGTAAGCATCTTGCATGTCTTTTGTTAAATGTATATCTAGGTAGTTAGTGGTTTATATGCTGTTGCAAATGACATTTCATTTTCTACTTGTTTGTTGCTGGTATATAAAAATACAATGATTTTTGTATCTATGTCTTGTATCCAGAGACCCTGCCAAAGTCACATATCAATATAATTTGTCTGTAGATTCTTTTGGACTTTCTACATATGCAGTCATGTTATCTGTGAATGATGACAGTTTGTTTCTTCCCTTCCAATCCTTATGCCTCTCTCTAGTGTGTTTTATCTTTCATTTTTAAGTCTAAAATTCCAACTGGTTGAGGTAATTTCAAATCATGATTTTATAACCCAGAATATTATCTGCTTGCCCACAATTTGTCAAATTTGTGGATAACAAAGGTGCATTCTGTATGCTCATTCAAATCAATGTCCAGTGAAAATTCTTTTAAAAGGCTGAAAACAAAGCCATAGAGAAGACCTCAGGAGATTTACTTCCAGCATGAAACTGATCAATTAGTTATCTTTGGAGGCAAGTATTCAAACTATCACTTGATCCATCCAAATATGTCTCAGCCAGTATCCATTTGTTCTCTAAAATATCATGAGCTATTTCATTGAATTTTACTTGAAATCCATGTATGTTATGGACCAATGATTCTCTTAACTATTTAGTCTGAAGATCTTATGAAAGATGTAAAATGTTTGTTTACTCCTCTCTTACAGAATAATTATGCTGACTTCTTGGTGATGACTACTTCTGTAAGTAATCATAAAATACCTGCTTAAGAATTTGTTTTGGCATTTTACTAGGAGCCTATGTTTTCATGGATATGAATTTGCTGGAAGCCACTTTTCTCTCCTTTTGGGGGACTTCACGTACTACAGCTGCTCATCTCTAGTTCCCTATCATGTTTCCTAGCCTCCACAGCTTTTACAGAATAATTGATAATATTTTGAGAGTGCTA